AGAAGTGCCGCCTCCAGGAATGGGGGCGGGGTGGGGGTGGGGGTGGGGGGAGGTAGACAGGGGCAGGCAGCCAAGAGTAGACAAGCCCCAGGGACGGGGGGTGGGGGAACCCCGCAGCACTGTGGGGGAAGTAGTCACTCCGGGCCAAAGGCGGAGACAGTCCGAGCTGGGGAAAAGGGCTTTGTCCCAGGCTCTCTGCGACCTCCCCATCCCGGAATCTCCAAGGCTATGGAGAGATTCGGGCTGGAATTTCCACGGGTTCGATGACTCACCATCCCCCCCACCTCCCCTCCAAACCCCGGAATCAAAGCCTCTTTCCTCTTGGCCAGGTCTCAGGAGTCCCGGGCTGTCAATAGGGCTTTCTCGTAGAGGGGGCGTCTCCCTTTCAAGTACCCGGGACGGGTACTTGTCCCCATCCTCGGACGCATGAGGAGGGGCCCCGACCCCCTCACACTCTAGACGCCTCGGGACCCCAGGCACCGAACGCCAAATCCGAGAACAGCGGTAGAAGGAGGGGCCGCCCGGGCTCTCACGCCCCGCCCCCGCCCCGCGCCTGAAGGTCAAGGGCCACCCCGCACACCCGGGACCTCACGCACCTGCGCACGAGCCCGCGCCCGGTGCGGGCCCCGCTCCGTACGGGACGCGCTGTACCTCCCTCTGGTTCCTCCCCTGCCCCCCTCCCCCCGCCAGAGCCACAGGGACCCTTCTGAAGGCCCCGGTCCCCCGACCCCGGGGCCGGCGGCGCCCAGTGAGGGAGCAGGTGGGGAACGGACCTGATGTCTGGGTAGCTCCCGATGAGTGTCTCCAGGTGCCGCCCGATGTCGTCCTTGTAAGTCTCGCCGAGAATGTCAGCGACGCATGGGATAGCCTGGCCCAGCCACGTGGCCTCTGAGCCCTGCGGGGACAGGGAGCCTCCTAGGGCACGGGCCGCCTCCCGCGGGAGCCCCCTTGCCACCCCTGCCTGCAGCCCCAACACTAATGCACCGACACCCGCTGTGACTGCACGGGCGGCGTTAGGGGACTCGGGTCTTGGCGCTGTGGACGGAGCCGCAGCACTTTCAGAGAGGTCTTCCGGTCTCTGCGCAGGTGGGTAAACCGAGACCCAGGCCCGGAAGTCCTGCCGGGAATCCTACAGCGCATCCGCGCCTGCGTAAGGAACAGGTGCCCAGGCTCCAAAGGCTGGGTCAGGGATGCTGGAGGGGCCTCCCGGAGGCCCCGCCCCTTGGCTGCTCACTCCGCAAGGGCCGTATGCAAATATATGGAAATGATCCCACCTGGCCCCACCCCCGCCGTGCCAGCGCTCCCAAACCCTCTCCCGGTTGCTGCAGCGTGGGGACGACCACCTCTGCCAAAGCCCGCCCCAGGGGGCTCTTGCGGAGCCCCCCCTCCCGGAAATGAGAATAGGGGGTGCCAGGGGAGGCTCCTCACGCCAGAGGCCCTAGGAGGAGGCGAGCACTGGGGGCGGTCAGTCAATGCTCCTACCAAGCCCTGGAAGGTGTTGCCAATGGCCTGGGCGTCGAGGCCCATCTTCTGGGAGCCAGTCACGCGATCGACACCGCGGAACCGCTCACGAGGCCTCAGCACCTGTGCCAGGTATTCACGGACCACGTATCGGTGTGCCTCCTGCAGCGTCTCCTGGGCCGTCGGGGGATCAGGGCCAGGGTCAGAGTCAGAGTCACAGGCCCCAGCCCAGGGCACGGCCCCACCAGAGCCCTGTCCCGAAATACCTGTGCCCGCAGTGGGGCCACGTGCTCCAGGTGATGGGCGAAGGCCACCACTTTGTCCATGAGGGGCTGCAGCACGTCGTGTGTCAGCCAGGCCTTGGTACACAGGACCCTGAAAAGCGGCTGGGGGCAGAGGGGGACAGGAGTCTTCTAACCCTCCTCAAACCGTCTCCTCCTCATCCCCTAGACCCTCTCCTCAGAGCCAGTGCGTGGTTCCTAACAGGGGTGTTTCAGGCCGATGGACAATCTGTCGCCAGGAAGAAACTTTGGGGGGACTGACCCCCTTCTAATGTCACCCGAGTAACGTCTCTCTCAGCCATGAATGTCATTAAGCCTCTTGCAAGGATGACTCCTCCAAGCCCTGAGCTCCAGGGGACAGGGTTTGAGTTTGAGCCTCTAGGCAGGCCCTGCTTAGGGGAGCCTGGGGAGGCCTTGAGGGGCGGGGTGAGGGGTCTGGTTCCTTGAACACACCTTCTCTGAGAGTCTCAAGTAGGTAGGCGTTTCCTGACCTCCCTGCTCAACTAGGAATTTATCTGGGTCCCTTGCCCACCCCCCAACGCACCACCCCCGAAACTGCCCCTGAGGTGAAGGAATGCTGGGACTTGGGGGCCCCAGGCTCCAGGGCACAGGAAGCAGCCACTGGGTGTGGAAAGTGGGGAGAGAAGGGCCTGTCCCACTCACTTGCACATCATACTGCAAGCCTTGGAGCAGCCGCTTTTGGAAGACACAGACGGCAGCCACTAGAGGTTTCTCCAGCTCTTCAAAGGTTCCTGGGAACCTGGCCAGAAGACTGGTCCTGGGAGGGGCCAGGACAGGAGATGGAGTGGGCAAGGAGGAGCAAGCTGTGGAACAAGCTCCGGTAGACAGCCGCGGAGGCCAGGTGCCATTCACTTAGACTATAATGTGAAGGGCAGCCCCTGGGGCTGTACAGCGTAGTAGCCCCGAAGGCACAGTCGGGTGAGAAGATGGCTCCAAAGCCCCAGGAGCTGATCCCAGAGGGTAGGTCAGCAGGGTGATGGTGGTGTCCCCACTGCATCGCAGAACGCCCCTGTGGTGTCTCTGGGTCAAACCTCCAACCGTCTTGGTGATGAGACAGGGCACCCTGGCCATGACTGGCACAGAGGCCCTCCCCTGAGCCTCATAACTGCCTCTCTGAAGGTGACAATGTCCCCCACTTCAAACCCACCCCGTCACACCCTTTCAAGGAGACTGAGGGCCAGGCTATGCCCAGTCCTCAGAACAGGGACACAGAAAGGCAGGCTAAAAAGTTCCATCAGGGGCTGGGTCAGAGGCTGCCTACCAAGGGGCAGAGAATGTTTCCTGGGGCTGAAGGGGACGGACCAGCCTGGCATCGATTAGGGTTGAGAGAGTGTTAGACAAGTGGTCCTCGTCATGGTCGTGCTTGGATTCAGACAAGTGTGGTTCAGGTCCCAGGTCCAGCACATACTGGACGGTGCATGATGGTGGGCTGGTGGCACTCCTTTTCTGAGCCTCCACTTGTCCCAGTACATGGGGACACTGCCCTCGGGACGAAATACATCAGGCGGGTAAAGCTCCAGCTCAGTGCCTGGATCTCCAGCGCTCACAAAAAGTGAATACGAAATGATTCCCTCTAGGGCGTGGAGCCCCACGTCTCCATCTGACAGATGACAAAAGGAGGCACAGAAGGGGGAAGTGACTTATCTCTAGGCACACAGGGAGCAGGTGGCAGAGCTGGGATCAGAACCCAGACTGCGCGGCTCAAAGTCCATGGCCGTACCTGCTGCAGCTGGTGCATCCATAATGTGGGGTACACCGGAGGCCCAGGAGGGGGACAGCCACTGCCTGCAGAAAGGGGAGGCATCTGCCTTCCGGGGGCAGAGGGACCCAGGGTAGTGGGGAAGAGGAGGGAGTGTCTTTAAAAAGGAAGCCGGCTGGGGCGCCTGGGTGGCACAGTCGGTTAAGCGTCCGACTTCAGCCAGGTCACGATCTCGCGGTCCGTGAGTTCGAGCCCCGCGTCAGGCTCTGGGCTGATGGCTCGGAGCCTGGAGCCTGTTTCCGATTCTGTGTCTCCCTCTCTCTCTGCCCCTCCCCCGTTCATGCTCTGTCTCTCTCTGTCCCAAAAATAAATAAACGTTGAAAA